TGGTATTTATATGACTCCAAATTTTGCACACACACTCTATTTATCTCAATAATCAATCTAAAAAAAAAAAAACAGGTTCAATTTGAACCTTAGATATGGTCAAATGAGTCCCTTCCAAAAACGAATCTAGACCATTCATTTTATAAACTCAAGCCTTCATAAACTCAAAATCATTTTTTTCTTTTTGAACATTGTTCATCTAATGATAATAAAACGATCCAAAAAAATTGGCAATGAAAAAATCCTTCTAAAGCCTAGATCTAGGCATCTCACTAAAATGAACGGCCTATGTTAATTGGACTAAAAAATTACTTTCCAAATTGTGTTTTCAATTTTTTTCTTTTTTTATGATTGTTCTTTAAAATGAAAAGAGTGTATATTTCAATTTTGATAAGATGCTTAGATCTAAGCTTTAAAATGATATATTTTCTTTTCAAAATTTTTAGATAATTTAAAAAAAAATAATTTTGAATTCATAAAAACAATTTTGATGAATATGAAATTCATCAAACAGACGGTCTAGATTTATTGTTGGAGAAGACTCATGTTGACCATATATAGAATAAATTTTTTTAAAAAATTAATTATTGACATAGAGAGAACGTGTATACAAAATTTTGAATCACACAAATACCACAAACATAGTATTCTAAAAGTGTGGTTGCAACACACCATAATACAACCGTTGCATGAAATTATATATACGAGCTCATATGGGTGCGCAATATGGACTTACCAGATAGATTAGAAAGCTTAAAAAAGTTGATCCGTCGTCATCGTATTTTAGAATATTTTTATAAAAGATTTAAGTCCAATAGGCACAAAATTTTGCACTCTGATTTGGCACTCCAAACAAAACAAAATAAAATAAAGATAAAAGTAGATAAGCACCAAAAATGACGACCAAATATGTATCCACCATTTCAGTGTATACAGGCCATCTAGTTTTTTTTTGTCCTGCAATCTGGGGTATCCCGCCTATACTGATATATAGACTAAGCTCATTTGTTTGTGTGTATGTGTGCGCGCTACACATGACTCGGGGTCCAGACCTGAGTAAGGCCCCAAGCCTTCAGGTTTGGGGCTGGATTAAATCCATTTGCACACCCACTGAAAGTCCCATCAGTGAGGCATTGCCAAACAAGAGTACTGCAAAAGAGGAACATAGAACTAATACGCCACACTGAAAGACCATGATCCTTGGCACATGCAACGGATAACCAATATCACTCTCGCCAATATTATTTCAAACAATAAATGAGGGAATATCAAGCCTGCTATGCATAAGCAAAGGAAAAAAGTAGCTGCATCTAAAACAGATTGGCATTAACATGGGAACCTGATGTCTGTGTAACTGGACAACAAAGAGAAAAATAGACTCATAATACAAGGGCCAAAGAACACTCACATATACATGCCAAAAGAAAGAGCTAAATGACCCACGAAAGCATGAAATGCCAAAGATGGGGCGAACCTGTCATCATCTGTTTGTGCTGCAAAACTTGACCACTAGGAACCAATGCACAACCAAAAACTGGGGGCGTCATAGCCAAAAAGTATCCAAGTCTTCAATATCAATCTTCCTCCTGAAAGGTTCACTTAATCCGAGAAGCACATGTCTTGGAAGTTCGCCCAAATTTCTTCCAAGCCATGAAAGGTTGAGGGAAGCGTGTAAAGACAGCAAGGAACTAACCCAACCCTGATTTTCTCTCTCAAGGATCAGATGCTTGACCTGGGTTTCTGGTTCCTCCTTTGGCTTTCTCTCTCTCTACCCCGTTTGGTTTCTTTTCCATTGTGTCCCTCCTTGCTCTAGGTGGGGTTGCAGGGGCAAGGCGACTCGAGCTTTGAACAGGGTGGGCTTCAGGGTCGTAAGTTTGGGATGCCAAATAGGTAAGGGCGGTAACCACATCGGCTATGAGGGGACGCATGGTAGGCTGCTCTTGCACACACATTGCAGCAACAGCTAGTGCTTGATACAAGCCTCTCATGGGGAACTGACCTTGAAGCGTGGGGTCTGCCATTTGTGAGAATTTCCTCCTATCCTTGAACAGTGGTCGTGCCTGCAATTATCACACAAGACCCAAATCACCACCAAAAAAAAAAAGGAAAAAAAAAACTGAGTCCCATGATAAAAAGCACTTATTTGTATATGCAAATTTCGAAGATTTGCCTGATTGTTCCTTTTAGCATCATAAAGAGTACTTGTTGGTAAATGCCAATTTCGAAGATTTGCCTGATTATTCGTTTTAAAATTCTAGAGCAATCTTTGCTTGTTCCATTAAAAAAGAAATGAAAAGAAATATCGTTTGTCCTTTCAAAATGGCTCATGAAGTGAACAGATGCACTAGGGTGAGAATCAATAGTTACTCCGCATCTAGTTTGAGAGAAGCTGGAACTTTTCTTCTTTTTTTTCTGATTAACATAGAAGCTGGAAATTTGCAATTGACGACAGGAGGGGATGTCCAGAGGATATTGTTTGGCTGCTTTATAGTACTTTGGTTGTTTGTTCAAGATGACAGTTCAGCTTTGTACTGTGCATCTATTGAGGTAAGTAATATTAAATCATTGGTATGTAATATTAAATCATTCTCTTGACTAAAAAACACAGTTATCATAAACAAAAGACTTTTGGGCGTATCTCTGTCAATGACCTGCATCAACAAGGTAATTTCATTGGAGAAGTGCATTCAAGTACCTCAATAACAGCTCAAATGTTAAGGACCCACCATAACAGAAGCAAACAGAATCAAGAACTTGGAAAAACTGAACATTGTATGAGTGCTACCTTGACTTTTTGATTTAACTTTCTTTATTAGTTTCTCTTTGATGAAATTTTGTTCATTTTCTTTTCATATTCAATTGATTTCCCTGCTAACTTTATGTTTCTATTCCACATAAATTTTATTCATTCACCTTCTTTGCTTTTCTGCACTTTTTTTTTTTTATTTCTTCATTAATAGTTTTGCTTTGACTGGATAAGCATTAATTGTCCCCTCTAAATTTTCCTTTATTTTATTCTCCTCTTTTTTATTATATTTTGATTGCTTCACATCTCTTTCAATCATTAGTTGATTAAACTATATCTTAGATTTAGTTGTGACACTATATTTCCTCAATCTTTTTGTAATTTCAGAGTTTCTAAACTTATCTCTAATGCATAAACAACCGTATATTAAACATTTAGAATACAATTTCCAAAATGATATCACAACAGTAACTCTAAATCAACAGTGCCACAGAGAAGATATGGACTGCACAAGCCAGCCAAGGGATTGTCACGAATGACAAGTGTGGTCTAACACTGACCAAGAAAACAAAGCGTTACTACGATCATAGTGGTTTGGATAACCGGAACTATAGGCTCAATTATTATTACACAAGTATCAATAGAACAAGCCAAAGTGACAACAAACATGATTATAAGTAACAAGCCGAAACAGAAAAATCAAGATAATCAAATGGACCAAAACTGTATAAGAGATACCATTTGTTCAAGCTATGTTACACAGAAACATGAACTCGCAAAAGTTAGTGTTACATGTCGAAACATTTTGACGCCCAAAATTGAGACAACATGTCCCAACATGTGTAGCGTATGCACTGTATCAAGGCATATGGTACCAACGAGCCCTATGATGAAGTCTCTGACTCCATTCTCACCGAAGGGTAGAGGCCCAAATCGTCACTGACTTACCCTTCTTTTTTAGAAACTTGGACATGCAGTGTCTAAAAAAATTGTCCCACGTAAAACTCAACCTCATGAACTCCTACATAGAAGTTGCACATTTTATTACTCTAATATCAATGATTGAAAAATCAACAAGTTAGATTGGAATCCGAGCTACCTCAGAACCAGGCAGCCACCGGTTCCATGTACCCCTGATCCACTCACCCCAGTTTTTCGAAATCCCTGGTTCACTGATTTTCTAAAAATTGCCCTATTTTTCCGCATTCTAGTATTGGGTCCCCTCAACTGAATGCCCATATTCCACGCTTTTATCTATGCCTCTCGTTTTAACCCATTCTTCTCCACAAGATCTTTATCTCTGTTTTGTTAATGAAAGTCCCATTATTGAAAAATCAAAAATTCCAAAAATTGGGGTCTTTCTTGATTTTGAACCTTGATCACTCTGATTGTGAATATGATCATTCCAAACTGATACAAACTGTGAGTATGATTCAATATTCAATATTGATTCAAAAATCTTAAAAAAATGTTATTCAGTGTTTTTATTTCAAAAAGCAAAAGAATTGGCAATATTTTGTGACCGAAATGGCTCAAAAAGTGCCATCCTAAACTGTGATTAAGTTTTGTAGGTAGACTTTGAATTGCAGTTTTTTGGGGAGTGAAATGCGAGTCGCTGTTTGAATTGAACAAAACATATTCAAATAAATCATGAAAATAATTATTTTGGACAATTTTGAGAGTTTTTTTTATTTTATTTTATTTTTTATTTTTATTTTGATGAGGTTAACATAGGAATAGAACTTGAGACGTTGCGCTATGAAAACCCAGCCTCTACCGTCTTGACCCAAGTTTTTGAAAATGGAATCAGAGATCAGTTTTTTTTATGATTTTAGATGACTCATTTTTCCTTCTTTTTTTTTGACAACTTTCCAAATTAGTTTTCTTGAAAGTTCCAAGTTTTTGACATTTTTTTCTTTTTTAAATCAAGCACAAAACCACTGTCCGACTTGGATTTTTAGGTGATCTATTACACCCGGTTCCTGTTATCTAGACTCTGATTAATATAAGTTAAATGCAAAATATTCTTTTGCAAATAAAATTATAAAAAGAACATCAAAAACCAACTATGTATTCCAATCTTTGCCCAGATTATATATACTGAAGAATATATATACACATTATGTTTCTACCACTTGGCTCTGTTCTTTCTATCTTTAACAGATTATTAATTAAGTTTACTATTCATGTATATATGCTCAAAATAAAAGAAAATTTCAGTTTACTATGGCATGTATGGCCCTTTTCCTTTACCTATTCCTGCAGTTGATCCTGCAGTTGATTAAGTTGCACATTGTGGGCAGTTGGCTATATGGGCATACAAAAAAATCAACTAAGTAATGGAACTGTACGTATTCCAAGTAGAAAGAGTACCCCATAAAAGCATCTTTTTGGACATAATGATGGAAAGAATTAAAATAAATACATAAAAATACAAATAATAATACTTTTGACTGAAATTATTTGTTAGTTAATTAATTGAATTAACAAATACTAAAATTCTTGAACTTTATCAACAAAGTAGCTTTTTTTGAAACCGGTTAACTTTGTTAAATAAATAATCAATCGAGTGTTAAAATAATATTTTTTATATATTTTTAATAGCATCTTTTATGAGTTTTTTTTTTTTGGGACATGTTTACAGGGTAGTAACAGAACCACTGACACCACATTGTGACCCTGCAACCCTACGCACTCAGGCCAAGGGCTTCCTATGTATTTAATAATTTTATAATTTCTATACTTTTTCAGTTTTTCTATATCTTGTAAAAGAATATCTTTTATATTAATTACTTGTGCAGATGTTTCAGGGCTGTAATTTGGTTTTGGGTCCCTGTGTTTGCCACCTTGAAACACGTTTCAGAAACTGACACCTGTGTTAGATGGCTGGGTAACATAGGCTCAAGCAACTTGAACGAGCAATATGGGTATTTGTACTCATTAGATGAACATTGTTCAAACTATATAAGGTGAGAGAGTAAGACAAAATAGAAATAATCATTATAAAGTTAGAGCTGTGTACTCTTGCTTCTATTGAATGAAATCTGTCTAGCTATCAAAAACAAGAAATTCAGGAGGAAACATACCATCTGAAAAAAAAAAAAAAAATAGAAGCTAAACTAAACCAAAGAAAGAAGCCGTAACTATAGTAGATAGAAAAATTACCCAGGCAACAAGATTGTGCTCCCCAGCAGCTCTAGAGTTATCGATGGCCTTCCTACCAGTGATAAGTTCCAAAAGTACCACGCCAAAGCTATATACATCAGATTTCAGGGTAAGCTGGCCCGTCATCGCATACTCTGGTGCACAATACCCATATGTGCCCATCACCCTAGTGGAAACATGGGTCTTATCCCCAACAGGCCCGAGTTTCGCCAAACCAAAATCTGATAGTTTCGGATGATATCCTTCTCCAAGTAAAATGTTTGAGCATTTCAAATCCCGGTATATAACAGGAGGGTTTGCTTTATCGTGCAGATACTCTAACCCTTTAGCAGCCCCAGCTGCTATTTTCATCCTTGTATTCCAGTCCAACTGTTTCTTATCTGATGGGAGATCTGTGTGTAGAAAGTTGTCAACAGAAAAACAATTAATTCTATTTTAAGTTCAATAGAATCCACTAAAAAGAAAAGTTCAATACAGCATTTCAAAGGAATAAGCCAGCAAACCATGTAGATGATCTTCCAGCGATCCTAATGGCATGTACTCGTAAACTAGAAGCCTCTGATCTCCATCCGCACAATACCCAATGAGATTAACAAGGTTCTCGTGATGAAGAAGGCTTAACATCAATACTTCAACGAGAAATTCTCGGTTTCCTTGCAGCCCATTACGGTCAAGTTGCTTGATAGCCACAACCTATGCCAAGATAATTAACCCGCAATACTTTGAGAAACATAAGTAACAAATCTAAATTGGGAGAAGAACATGGAAAGAAACAATAGAAAGATTATCTAATTCTAAATTCCATAAGCTCAGGCAGTCCAACACCTTGACATCTATACATGCATCAATTAGGCGAAAACATGCAGTTTCATTTCAACAGCCCATTCAAATGAGCAACTATAATTCACACCAGATATGTTAATCGATCCAATATTTTAATTTCTCTTGCTAAAATCACATCTTCAGTTCTTCTGAAATGCCAATGAAACCAAAATTATTATTAAGACCACCCATTATATCCAAATATATTGAACTTAATCCTCTACGTTTAGGAAAAAATGACTATCCATGTCTGACCAATACAAAAAACAGCAAGCTGAATGTGTGCACTTGTGTGAATCCACGTGTGTTTGTGTGTAGCAGCAAGGGCTAGCATTGAGCATTGTCTATATTATCTAAGAATCAGTTCTGATAGACAAGGAACTGAGCACTGATTGAAGCACAATACATAAATAAACGAAAGAAATTCATTTCAGCACACCAAAGAAGCATATGAAGTTTTCGCAAATTATGGCACGTAAGCAATCAGAATAAAAGTAAGAATAAACGTAAGCAAACAAAGATAATATAATCCGGATTAAGAAAGTGCCAACAAGCAACCTCACTTTACAAGCCAAATATTCAGTCCAAGCTATAGATAAGGAACAAAAGTCACTGATCAGCATCTTGAAGTTCAGAAGGAAGAGTTGGGATATTAAATGCCAGTGAAAACCAATAAGAAAACTAAATCAATCTTAAAAAAGGGACGCAAAGGTGAATCTGACCTGGTTGGTACTCTCCAGCCTGCCCTTATAAACCCTGCCAAAGCCTCCTTCACCCAAGAGACACTCAACTCTGAAGTTCTTGGTAGCATTTGCCAATTCGCGGAAAGTGAATGTCTGTGCAGCAATATGTGTTGATCCATCTTTGGATACCTCCTTCTTCTTATCAAAAGAATTGTTCAATTTATGCTTTTCTACAACAGCAAGAAAGGCGAGTACAACCAAAATCAACAACAATAAGAGGAGCTAACCCAATAAAAAAGACAGGCTATATAAGCTAAAAAGACCCTAATGACCTAAAAAAGACGAGTACAACCAAAATCAACAACAATAAGAGGAGCTAACCCAATAAAAAAGACAGCCTATATAAGCTGAAAAGACCCGAACGACCTAAAAAAGTAATAGTCCACTAAATTAGGGCTCCATGTAGCCTAAAAAACAGATAATTGGACATGTCCAGTCTTCTTCAATGAAGGTGCACCATGCTTGAAAAAAAATCACTTCAAAATCAGGGCAAACCCCATAAAACTCCCAAGAAAAGTGCCATCTTCAAAACCCCTAAGAGCTCCCTAAATATTCATCAAGTTCCTACCAGTTCTAAAATGTATATACAATATTTCCAATCATTTGATACATAATTAGAGGCTGACCTATAAACTATAACATGGGCTTTGTTCCTGCATCAACACACAAAAACTACTACTTCATCATCATCACCACCACCACCACCATCAAAACCCCAATCTCTAATTCCAAAAGAATATAAAAACCAGAAACTATAAGAAAACAAAACCCACTTACATGAAAACTAACACGATGGTGGCAAAGAAGACCTAATACCAAAGATTTCTTTGAAAAACCAAACGTTTGAGCTACTCTAGAAGGCAGCACACGGCTGACCTCCAAACCATAATTACCAGTATCAAAACCAAAATTCTGAGACAATTCGAAAAGGGCACTCAAATTCTCAGACAATCTGAAAAGGGCACTCAAAATCACCCAGAAGGAACAAAAAGGCGCAGTAAAGGAACAATACAAACAAGAAAATCAGCATTTTAAAGTCATCAAGAACCTAACGTACACTTAAACCCATAATCAAACATGGAAGAAACCCTAATCCAAAGCTAATCCTAAGCAGATCCAAATGGGAATGCGAATGGGAGACCAGAGAGAAACAAACCCCTAATTCGATCCAAACCCACATGGATTCTCCCCCCAAAACCCCATAATACAGGTGATCCAGAGATCAGAAAACAAGATGGAGAAAAGAAGAAAGAAAAGGGAAAAAAAGAACGTAAAAGGTATGGAAAGAAAGGGTGCATGCCTGTTGCGGCTGATGGGTTCTGATCAGTGAGCTGCTTCTTAAGAGGATTCTTCTTGGATCTTCCTCCTGAGCAGGGGAACCAGCCCATGTCTCTATGATGATGGAGGACACATAACCCAAATAACGCACAAAAGGAAAGCCTATTTCTTATACAGGCTTCACTCTTACTTTCTCACTCTATACTCTCTCTTTCTCTCTCTTCTTTTTTTTACACTCGATTCTCCGCACTTTCTCACTCTACTTTATCACTCTAAAAACTCTCTCTACTTTCTCTCTCTATAAATCCCCCCCTTTCCTCTCAAACACTCTCTCTACTTTCTCTCTCTATAAATCCCCCTCATCCTCTCAAACACTCTCTCTACTTTCTCTGTCTAAAAATTCCCTCTTCCTCTTTGTCCAAACCAAACTCCTCGTGGTTTTTTATTAGGACAACTAATTTTTACTTATTTGGACATCCAATTTTACTCAAATGCCCTCCTCTTTGTCCAAACCAAACTCCTCATGGTTTTTTATTAGGACCTCTAATTTTTACTTATTTGGACATCCAATTTTACTCAAATGCCCTCCTCATTGTCCAAACCAAACTCCTCATGGTTTTTTATTAGGACTTCTAATTTTTACTTATTTGGACATCCAATTTTACTCAAATGCCCTCCTCTTTGTTCAAACCAAAGTCCTCATGGTTTTTTATTAGGACCTCTAATTTTTACTTATTTAGACAAAAATGCCCTTTCTTTTTTTTTGTAAGGGTGTAGTTTCCATGAGATTGCAACTTTAAACAATCCAATTAAGGTGCACCTTCTAATTTTATCATATATATGATTTTGATATTAAATATTATTAGAATTATCTCAAAATCTATTTTCATATCTAATAATCTTAAAAATAGATGGTCTAGATAATGTGTTGTAAGACACTATTTTTGGGACTCAAAATCATTTTTTCTTTCATAATTATACATCTCGATGTCGATATGCTCAATTAGAGGGTGTTTCAACATTAAAATAATATTTTTCGATGAATTTTTGAGGTGCATATGTAGTTCTACAGTTTAAGGTTGCAACCTTAGGTAACCTTTTTCCTATTACCATTGTTTCTAAACATGGTTTTATTAGGGCATCTAATTTTACTTGGATTTTATTTGGACATCCAATTTTACTCAAATGCCCTTTTTTTTTTGTTACCATTGTTTCCAAACATGGTTTTATTAGGACTCTAATTTTACTTGAATTTTATTTGGACATCCAATTTTACTGAAGTGCCTTTTTTTTTTTTTGTTACCGTTGTTTCCAAAGTACTTTTGTGATAAATTTGTGCCCTTCTATTTTTGTGTTTAACGATTGGGGTTGCCTTTTTGTGGGGTGTGCATGATCCACCGTTCACTCTTAAAAGTAACTGCTTACATGTGTGACCTAGGAGAATCTGGTGGGCCCCAACTTTTGGGGATTGATCGTGACGAATGGCTGTGATCAAAAGTAATGGCTAGAAGTGCATCTTTGCCGTCCGTATGCATCAAAAATTAGAAATGGCAATATTAGCCAAAGGTAAGTGAAAGGCGCATGCCTCGTGAAAATTTCTCAAATTGATCATCCTGGTCTCCATTATTATGATCTAAAAAAAATAAGTCCAAAAAGAATATATTATAATATATTATTTGATCTATTTACTTTTTAGCATTTACAATTTCATCATATTTATATGATTTTTGAAGTTTCAAATTTCAAAATCAAATACACAAATTTTCACGTTAGGAAATTCTATTGCAAATACATTTTTTGATAAGATTTTGATACGCGAATTTCCTTCTCTTGAGCGAGGCATGGGTCTCCCATAAAGTACATCCACCAAAAAAAGGGGAACATGGTCCAAATTTTTAGGATTCAATAATAAAACTCAGGAAATAAAGGGCAAGTGCCACTTTCTTATTATTTGGATCAAGGCATTTCAATCCGGATTTAATGGAGGAGTTGGGTAGAATAGAAGAAGTCAAGGTATGATGGGCTTCTTTCTTACTTCAATGTATGCCATTTTGTTAAGAATTAGTATCTTTCTTATTATAATTTCTAATCTTTTAGCAAGTAATCATTGTTAACATTTTAAAACAATCTTTTAGCAAGTAAATATGGGGAATGTTTTTATGTGACCCAACAACCTAAAATAATATGCGACCCCACTTTTTAGCCATTCAATTACATCTACAATCGTTTATACCCCAATATCATGCGAAATACTGTTTTATTTTTTATTTTTTTCTATAAAATATTTTTGGATAAAATTTTGGGCATCCCATCATAAGATTAGGATGAACTTAAAATAAAATTAGATAAAAAAGTAAAATAAAAATAATATATATATATATATATATATATGACCAAAATTCCCCCAATAATTTTCATGGCTATTGTGCACCGCTGTCACATCTATGCATGCCCAAAATTTTGTTTCAAAATTATTTGTAGAATATAAATAAAATAAAAAATTATGAGCCGTCTAATCAAAATTTGACGGTTAGAATCAAACCATCTCGGCCATTTATTCAAATCTAATTGCTGAGACCAAGGTCACTTTTATCATATGTGGGTGGGGTCACATAAAAAGTCCTGGCCGGTAAATATTGTGGGAAAGTATCGCATGACTCACATGCGCAAGTGAAGTGTGTGCTGGTAACAGTTGCCACCGTCCAACCAAGGGTTGGACGCTGATGGTTGGTGAGTGGGACACGGAGTTGAGTTCCGGACATGTAACCGGGGGTTTTAGATCCCACCTTCCGCCTATTGATTGGATCGTTGACGACGGTATACTTTCTTGTGAGTTATTCAATTTGGGAATTGTGTGAGAAGAAAGGAAAATTGGTAGCATGCCGTATCTGACATCATTGATAATATTAAAAATGCAAGTATGGTAAGAGTAATGATACCCTTCCATACCTTTATGTATATGATTTCAAAAGATCAGCATTAAATTTATTACAGATTTTAGAAAAGTCAAGTCTCAAATTTATATGATATTTTTTTAGAGATTTGTATCAAATTTGATGGTGATCTTTTGAGTCCTACACATATGAGTATGGGAGGAGGGTCTCGTCGGATCATTACCCGTATAGTAAGAGTAATGATCATCATTAAGCAAGCTACCGAATTGGTGAAGGATTTTGTCCAATCAAATCAATTGGACGGTTGGTTGAATTGGTTTTACCAAATTTTAAAAAATAAAATAAAAATCAATATATAAATAAATAAATAAATATATATATATATATATATATAAGAATAATATTTTAGAAAAATGAAATATATTTTAAAAAAATTGTTACCTTTATTTAGCTAGTCAAGATGGTTAAAATCAGAAGGTTCGATTGGCAAAAACTAATCAAATTTTGATTTTAATCAGTTTTTTACAAACCATATTTTGCTTTAGACCGGACAGACCAAGGCATTGTAGGATTAGTTACGGTTTTGATAACTATACATGAGACTTGTCGAAAGATTGCATGTTTAAACCATGAGTTCTTTGTATATATTTTTTTAGGTAATTGTGAGTTCTTCATATTTGCAAATCAACATATGTTTACTCTTGTGATTCTTATATGGGTGTGGTTAGTATAGACCAGAGGCTCTAAACAATTAAATTAGAGCCCACCTTCAAATAAATTCAAAAAATGTAGTTTTAATATTAGAAATCTTTGTGATAGCTTTAAAAATAATGTAGATCGAGTAGATCTATGAAAACTTGAAAATTGAGTCCAAAAATATGTTACAATATGCACTATTTCCAAAAATTGAAATCCATTTTTTTTTCTGATGTCCTTGCATCTTGATGTCGAGATGATCAATTTGAGGACATTTGGGCATCAAAACAACTTCTTCCGGTGAAATTTTTTTGGTGGGCTCTAATTTAATTGTTTAGAGCCTAGGCTCTACATAAATTTTTTCTTCCATATATTTTGGTAATATCTATTCTATAAGTTGCAAGTAAGAGCAGAACAAAGAGGAAAAATAATGAAGTACTTTGAAGCATAGTAGAAAGGTATGGAGTATTTAAATTTGATGGAAATTAGAATATGCACGCATACTAGGATTCTAGAGAGAATGTTGCGATTGGAATTCTAATTTAAATTTGGATAAAAATTAGAACATTTTTGCAGAAATTAGAATTCTAGATAGTCCATTAGACTTCTATTTAAGTTTTCATAATTTTGTTTAACATATACAGACTTTTCTTGTGGAGTCTCTGTAAGGGCAAGGTTTTGATGAGTCCGCTAACTCATTTATTTATGTGAGACTCTTCTCCAAAATTCATCTCGAAATTTAGGTGGTGAGAATCGGTGAATATAAATAAAAAAATAAAAATTTAAAAAAAATTACCATTTATTTATGTATTCTTTTACACTTTTGATTTTTACTTTGGGTGGGACCCCACTTCTTTTTATCATATGATATGTAAGGAGAAACATATGTAGAATTGTGTCACCCAATAACAAACGATATCCCATTTTGTAATAGTATTTAAAGGAAAAAATTTATATAAGGTGGTAACTTTAAAATGTAGAAATAAAGATGCACCTCAAAAATCCATCGAAAAAAGTTGTTTTAATGTTGAAAAACCTTCTAATTGATCATCTCGAAATCGAGATGCATGAATATGAAAAAAAAGAAAAAAAAAGATTTCGAGTCCTGGGAATAATCTATCTTGCAATACATTATCTAGGCTATCCATTTTCAAGATTTTCATATGCTTATAGATCTACTTGATTTTATTCATTTTTTGAGTTTAAAATTTTATAATTAGATATGAAAATAGATTTTTAGATAATCCTAATAAATTTTTACACCAAAAATGATAAAACTTGGAGGTGCACCTTAATTGGATTGTTTAGGGTTGCCACTACCCCACCCATGTTTAAAATATACAAACTTTACATTCGGAAGATTAAGTATATATGTAATGCTCAAAATGTACCCATTTGAAATATTAGGTTTATATAATGTTATTAAGCATGAGAGAATATAGATATTATCATGCAAGTTTTATGTTTTCTATTTCTTTCTCCCTAAATTTAATATGAACCCGTTGTTTATATTCCTATCTCATTTGTCAATATGAAAATTGTTAAATGGGGTAGAGAATGAGAACGTGATAGATAGGGGTAGCAATCGGTCGGACCAAGACCAAAAAAATATTTATGGTACTTGGACCCTACTCAAATATTATGTTA